TCAGAGGCGTGAGGTTGCACTGGAGTAGCAGGAGTCGGAGCAGTCGAGCCCACCGGATGATCAGTCGGCAGCAGGCTGCCGAATGTGACGCTGGTCCGAACAGGCTCTCCAGAACGTTCGACCACCGCCTCGAGCGCCGGCGTCGACTGAGGGACCTGAACTTCAAGCCTCCTCCTACCAGAGCTCCCACTCTTCTTCCTCCTCTCCTGTAGAGGTGCCTCTTCTTCGTCATCAAGGAGCACAACAACTTCTTGCAGAACTACAGAAAGAGAGAAATGTTAGAAACTCTGCTGATTGGCGATCTACTCAACTTAATGAAGCTTGGTCGATCAGACTTACCGACTCGTGAGGCGGCCTCTTTGTCTCCTGCCGCCTTGTCAATGTCCATGTCAGTGGCAGCAGAGGTGGGACTGGAAAGACACATGAATTGGTTGGTCAGAACAAGAAAAATCTTCAGTCGACCTACGAAAACGCAAGCGAGATACTCACCCCGAAGCAACAGGGACGTCCATCTTGATCCATGGCAATGTCTTCCGAGCCTTGGGCGGAGCAACTTTAGGCTGCTTGGCCACCTTCTTCGTCGGCTCCGGAGTCGACGTCCGAGTGCGCTTGTGAGTGTTGGCACTCGGAGCCACGCTTTTCCCGCGCCCGCTAGATGGATCATGCTGCTATTTCGATCGACGTTCAGAGCGCGGCGGTGAGTCGACTTCTTCCTCCTCGTCTGACTCCTCGCTCTCCTCCTCCTCCTCCTCTTCTCCGGAGACTCCCACTCACCACTCTCCTCCGCACTGTCCTCCCCCTCCTGGTCCTACTCCAAAGCCGGTTAGCCGTTGGGCATCGAATGCATCTCAGTGAATACCTGCAGAGCAAATCGATCGAGTAAGAGTCAGCCAACATCAAGTACAGTCGGAACGCGAGCGGGAAGCAGTCAGAACAAAGAGTATACCTTGTCGGGCGGGTTGCCGCCGCTGAAAGGGACGACTCGCCTGGATCCTCTAGGGTTGTCCTGGTTGCCTGTGATACCCCTCAGCCACAAAGCTACGGTTTCGGATGGCACTTCTTCTGGATGGACCCGAGCGGTGTCGTCCGGTTCGGAATACAGCCACATCGGGTGATCGCAAGCCTGGAGAGGCTGGATGCGCCGACTGAGGAACACTTCCAGCAAGTCCAGGCCGGTAACGCCATCATTGATGAGCTGGACCACTCTGTCCACCAACATCCTCGTCTCCACGGTCTCAGCAACGGTTACTTTCAGTGGAGTAGGAGTCTGAACACGGTCGAACGAGAAGTGGGGAAGACCGGTCGACTGACCTGGAGCTGCGACGTCCTGGCAGTGGAACCAGGACGACTGCCAACCTCTAACAGATTCAGGGAGAGTCACAGCGGGAAAGGCACTCCTATTCCTCTTTTGGATACCTAAACCCCCGCACATCTGGATGACATGAGTTTTCGAGTCACTCGACTTCGCCTTTTTTACCTACAGGAAAAGAATGGTGAAGATATGTTTGAAGAGACCCCAGTGTGGTCGACACCCTAAGAAGTTCTCGCACATCGATACAAACGCAGCTAAATACGTGATGGTGTTGGGAGAAAAGTGGTGGAGCTGAGCGCCCAAGAAGTTCAAAAATCCCCGGAAGAAAGGGTGCGGAGGGAGCGAGAAACCTCGGTCGACGTGAGTGGCAAGCAGAACACACTCACCCGGTCGAGGTTGTGGTTCCGTCTCCCCTTTCGGCAGCCTCGGCGCTCCCTTGGCAATCAGCCCGGACTCCTCCAGTTCGGCCAGATCCTCCTGCCGTTCCGAAGATCGGATCCAATCGCCCTGGATCCAGCCCGGCGGCAACCCCGCACGCGGCGACGATCCGCGGTTCTGCTTCTTGCCTTTCGCCGCCCCCGTCGCCTTCTTAGCGTGCTCTAGCGCCGCCGTCTTGCCCTTCACCATGGCGGGGGGAGCAGCGGCGTCGAGAGCGGAGGCGCTGGGCACGGTGGAGAAGCGGAGGAGAAAGAAGGGGGAGCAGGCGTGCATAGTGCAAGTGCCTCGGCCCCGTCACCTTATAAAGGGTCACTTCCGAGTGACTGGCGCGTGGGACCAGGCAATCCCGTCAAATCCCGCAACAGTTGCGCGCAGCGTACGTGGCGAAAAAGGCGGCGCGGTAATTGAGGCATCGCTACTTATCCGGACCGCCCGTTTCGGCGCTCTCCGGCCCACGCGCTTCCCCGAAATTTTGTATCCCGCGAAATCCGGGATACACCGCAGACAATTGCGCCCAAGATCTCGCGCTCTGACACAGCACTCGACGCATGAGGTCACCAGTTCAGTCGACAGCTCACTGAATGGATCAAGGCGACTGAGTCGACACCGAACTACCAACGCGGGCGTTCGGTCTTGCAGAAAACACTCGTGAAGACACGAAGCTCGGAGCAGGTTCAACTTCGATCTACTTTCCACTCGCACCTTAATCCATTCGGGGGCTACTGCCGAGGATACAAACCTGGGGTAGGGTCATAGGCCTGACCTACACGTCCTACCCAAGGTCACTACCCCGGAAGATAAAAAGACCAAGAGACAACAGGAGAGCACCGGTCGAGTGCGTCGAGTGCAATCCACTCGACGGCCACATCACTCGAAGGTCCTCCTCCCTACCGTCACTCGACCATATGGAGAGTCACTCGACTTATCGAAGACCAGGAGTCGGAAGGGCACGGCACTGCCGGACGTTCACCCCTTAGCCTTTATAAGCATTAAGAGTACTTAAGGCTGGCGTTACCAGTAATGCCTCTTACTTTATGTATATTAAGCCCCTTGTAGTGGAGGTGGGCGGGGGTCCTGGCGCACTCTATATAAGTCACCCCCCTCCTTTGGGACAAGGGTTGGCATCCCCTGTAATATCACACACATAATCCAATCGACCGCCTCCGGGCACCGAAACGTAGGGCTGTTACTTCCACTGCGAAGGGGCTGAACTCGTAAACCTCGTGTGTAAACCTTCACCATAGCTGAGATCTTGCTTCTCCATACCTACACCCCTTTCTACTGTCAGTCTTAGGACCACGACAACGACAATGAGGTTAATGGTGGGCTGCAGACGGATGGACAGATGGCGTCGGAGTATGTTCCTCGGCAACCGCATATCATTAATGTAGGGGCGACGGACCGACGTGGTGTCGTTTGAACACGGAGCAGTCGCCGGCACGGCGCTTCAATGCTGGCATCAGTGAGAGGTCGCGCCTCTTTGCCCGGGCATGAATGCGGCACTGGCGCTCTGGAACGGCATCGACTATTTAGGAGGGGAAGCGCACGGGCGAGGGAGGGGTTTTTCATGGACGAGGTTAGTCAGACGCGGGCGTGGCTGTTATCCGGACGCCCGCAAAGCCCCCTAATTTGTCTCCGGTTTTCGGGAATAATGAATCCATACCGTCGTGCGGAACAATTCAATCCAGCGTTGGATGGCACAACATGTCCAAGCCACGCGGTTTGAACTGCTGCGGATGGTTTGAGGGTTGGTATTGGAGATGTCCTAACTGCACATGCTAGCCAGTATTCCACTCCATGGTGGTTCAAAAACTGCACTACTGGATACAAACTACACTACGGCCAAAGGAAGATGAATTGCTCTTGAAGTGAAGTTGAAGAATATACTCTTCCTTTTTTACGAAGGCGGGTCGATTACGATGAGTCATCTCACAAGCCATACATGTCGTCCTCAGACCAGGGAAGGGAAGGGATCACATCAGCTTCACCGCGGAAGGAGTGCCACTCCATGGGGCGAGCTCTGAGGGCCTCATGGCAGGCCGCCTTATCTGCCACGCAGCACGCCCGGTGGGCCCCACGGAGGCCCTGCCCGTTGGCCGTCATGGCTCCTATATAGCCTCCATCCATCCTATCCTCCTCTCCTTCGCACGTATTACCGCGGCTCTTCCCCTGGTCACCGGCGAGAAAAAGGTACACGCACGCTTCTCCGTCTGTCTAACACTTCCCTTTGATGGATTCTACTACTTGTATTTGCGGCTCATCATTGCCGTCTTACCGAAACTCTAGCAGCTAGGCTTTTCGGCGCAGTAATACCGATTTTCTAGAGTAGCCGGAGGTTGGAAATACTAGTACTTTTTTTAGTACGGAGTATTGCTCAGCGAAGCACGCAGGAGTGTGATTAACGCAGAGGAATAGCTTGCGTATGACTTGATTGGTTGATTGGTTCTCCTCTCTCTGAGTACTGTCGCCCGGATAAGCACGCGGGCAGTGTGCCATGTCACAGGCTTTTGCGTGCGTGCAGCTTAATCTTTCGTTCTAGGTCCGTTTAGAACACTCGAGGCTTCCTTGAGTAGTTTTCAAGTAGCCCTCGTCTTCTTAATTTGAGAGATGGCAAGAGTACTGTTATACTTTTTCTTAAGGCAGTGACTGGTATTCTACTAAGTTTGCTTTCTGTGGGTCATTTTGCCATGCTTCTTTGAGAACTATAATTTTTTTTATAGAGAAACATTGATAAATAACATTTTCAGTAGATAAAACATTCTTAGATTTCCTGGGAAATACTGTTTTAGTCTAAAAACGATAGGTAAATAAACAGGCTTTCTAATTTAACATTGTAGACGTCGCAAAGATTAAATGATATTATTTTACAGGACGACTTAACTTTATAATCTTTTAATAGGATCAAAGCGGTGAAATGATTTTTTTAGGCTATCTATTTGAAAACAGCCTCTAGGTATGAAAATGAACATACTTTCTCGTACAATCCAGAAAACAGATCGAATTCCACTATCAAGAAATAACAGATCAAAACAAGCAAAAATAGCATCCTAGTGCAAACACACTACAGAGTCTTAAAATGGCCTAAAAACAGTGACAGCTGCCGCTTGCACTGCTAACAGCAAAAAATGGAAATGAGCATATATATATAGACCAGGAAAATAGATTCAGCCCGTTGTTCCCACGATTTTCTGTTGATTTTAACCACAGAGCCCGTGTTTGGTTTCTACTCTACTGTTCCCATCGTAGCACGATGGACTACATGAATGGGCCAGGCCGGAACCACCTGTTCGTCCCTGGGCCGGTGAACATTCCGGACCAGGTGATCCGCGCCATGAGCCGGCAGAACGAGGACTACCGCTCGCCGGCGATCCCTGCCCTCACCAAGACCCTCCTGGAGGACGTGAAGAAGATCTTCAAGACCACCACCGGCACCCCCTTCCTCTTCCCCACCACCGGCACCGGCGCCTGGGAGAGCGCGCTCACCAACACGCTCTCCCCGGGGGACCGGATCGTGTCCTTCTCGCTGGGGCAGTTCAGCCTGCTGTGGATCGACCAGCAGCAGCGCCTCGGGTTCAGCGTGGACGTGGTGGAGTCCGACTGGGGCTACGGCGCCGACCTCGGCGTCCTCGAGTCCAAGCTCCGCAGTGACTCGCAGCACACCATCAAGGCCATCTGCATCGTCCACAACGAGACCGCCACCGGCGTCACCAACGACCTCCACGCCGTCCGCAAGCTCCTCGGTCCGTCCGTGCTCCATCCAAGCTAATCTAGCTACCTCTTGCATGCATCGATCTTGATATGCTTACGTGTGGATAATGATATGTATGATGCAGATGCGTACCGGCACCCGGCGCTGCTGCTGGTGGACGGGGTGTCGTCCATCTGCGCGCTGGACTTCCGCATGGACGAGTGGGGCGTGGACGTGGCCCTGACGGGGTCGCAGAAGGCGCTGTCGCTGCCGACGGGGCTGGGCATCGTGTGCGCCAGCCCCAAGGCGCTGGAGGCGGCCAAGACGGCCAAGTCGGTGCGCGTCTTCTTCGACTGGAAGGACTACCTCAAGTTCTACAAGATGGGCACCTACTGGCCCTACACGCCCTCCATCCAGCTCCTCTACGGCCTCCGCGCCGGCCTCGACCTCCTCTTCGAGGAGGGCCTCGACAACGTCATCAAGAGGCACACACGCCTCGGCACCGCAACAAGGTACGTACCTACCCTGCTCCACCAATTCTTGTCTGTCTCTGGGCTTGATGAAAAATGGACCAAAACAGGCTGGCGGTGGCGGCGTGGGGACTCAAGAACTGCACCGCGAAGGAGGAGAACTTCAGCGACACGGTCACCGCCGTCGTGGTACCGCCGTACATCGACAGCTCCGAGATCGTCAAGCACGCGTGGAAGCGGTACAACCTCAGCCTCGGGCTCGGGCTGAACAAGGTCGCCGGCAAGGTCTTCAGGATTGGACACCTGGGCCACCTCAACGAGGTACGTACGCACGTCGCCGTAGAAACTGCTTGCAATCTGCATCCCCGATGACCAATGCGTGCTTTGTCGTCTTTGCTGCAGCTGCAACTTCTGGGTTGCCTCAGCGGGGTGGAGATGGTGCTCAAGGACATCGGGTACCCGGTGAAGCTCGGCAGCGGCGTGGCGGCCGCCGCGGCGTACCTCTCGAATTCCACGCCCCTCATCCCCTCCAGGATCTGAGCAAATCCAACGCACGAAAGCAAGGGGGCCGCGAGAAGAACAAACATCATGCAGTGCCCTGCTTCGGGAGCAGAGCAGGCGTAGTACACTACTGGTTCTGGTTATACTCTGTGTATGTAAAGTTGATTTTCACACACCCATCTGTGCTAAAGGAGTATAATTTCGTCAGCTGAAGCTTTAATTACAGAAAATTGAACCCGGATTAATATTACATCATGTGCCTGTTCTAGCTAGGCTTGGTATTGCTGATTGATCTACTCTGTTTCCTGCTACTATATACTATAAGCTGTTTACAGTGAGAGCGGCGTTTTGGCTCCGAGGTGCATATGCACCCATTGTCGAAATACACATTTCGAAAAGTTGAAAAATTCAGAACAAAAATCTCACGCGTATATCCGGACAGTTTATGTGGGTTCACAAGGTTTCGGTGAAAAAACACGTCTTTTGTGGCTTGTGTAAAAAAGATAAAGAAATGCCTCGTGAATAGTTAGAACGAAGCATCAAAAATTGTCTTTTTTACACAAGCCACAAAAAACGTCGTTTTTCACCGAAACCTTGTGCACCCACATAAAATGTCCGGATATACACGCGGGATTTTTGTTCCGAATTTTTCAACTTTTCGAAATGTGTGTTTCGACAATCGGTGCATATGCACCTAGGAGCCAAAGGCAATTACCGGTTTACAGTATTATAACCACTGAACTTATATTTCTAAACTGCTGCCTGGATTTCTTCCGTGACGGATGACTCTTACGCCGCACCTCCGGGTCAGCAGCCGCAAGCCGCGCCTCCGCCACATTACGTCGCTAGGCCGCCTCAGAAGCGCCAGCGCAACTTGTGATGGGCGAGGGAGGTGCGGATGCAGCTCGTGCGCCGGCTAATCGCGGCGGTAATGGTCCACCCCGAGGAAAGTGGGGTGATGATGGTTACAATGCTTATGGGGACGGACAACATCGTGGCTCATCGTCTGCGGGTGGCGGATGTGGCTACGCATGGCAGAGTGATGGGTCAGCTGAACGACCTTTCTACGGCCCTCCGGGAGGTTTTGTTGAGGGGGCGGCTGGCCCTGATTATAGGCTGCGAGGCGGATATCGAGGTCATCGTGGTGGTCGCGGTGGTCGCGGTGGTAGGAACCGTTACCGCCAGCCTCCACCGCCTGTTGTGGTGGAACCGACGATATCCCCGGAGGTCGATGCTTCCGGGCAGGCGTCAAAGCTGTCCAGAGAGGCTATGGAGGTGGTGACGGCGCTGGCTGCTGCTGAGGTCCCGATGACCGAGCCAGTGTCGGGTGTTTCAGGCGCCGTGGACAAGGCAGATGGTGAGGGAGTCTCTAAGTGAGCTCAGAAGAAGGAGAAGATGTTGTGCTACCGCTGTGGTGAGCGGGGGCACTTTATTGCTGAATGTGTGACCGAGTTATGTGATACTTGCCTCAAGACAGCACATGACACGGGTGAGTGCCCGATGTTGCGTGATCAGATGCCAAGCATTACTATTATGGAGTCTGTTGTGCCGAGCTGATGTTCTTTGAGTCTCCGTGTGCGAGGGATGTCCCAGAGGAGGCCCAGAGCACAACTACAGAGGTGGTCAAGGTCACGAAGGGTGACGTGTCTGAGGCTCAGATTTTGCAGCGCCTTAGGGAGTTGGCCCCAGGTGATTTTCAGTGGGAGCTGATTCGACTTGAGGACAACAACTATAAGGTTGACTTCCCGACTAGAGGATTTGGAGCGTCTCCTCAGCTTTGGGCTTTGCAAAGTTCCTGGCACAGAGTGCATTCTTGAGTTCCATGAGTGGAAGAAGGTTGAGCCACATGGTAAGCCTCTCACTCACGTCTGGTTGCATTTTTCGGGAGCTCCGTCGAAGCTGATTCGGGATGCTCGGGTTGCTGCAAGTTTGGGGATTCTGGTTGGCAGAACTGAGAGAGTGGATATGGCCTTTACCCGCGCTAACGCGGTGGCCAGGTTACTGGTGAGTGTGCTGGACATTGAGTTTGTGCCTGACGTGGTCAAGTGGACTCATAAGGGCCTCATGTATAACCTTGATATAGAGTTTGAGGATTCTGAGTACTTCGCTGAGGCTCTGGCAGGGATGGATGTAGACAAGCATGATAAGAATGATGGTTCGGGTAATTCGGAGGAGCGAGGGGGGGACGCTGGGCATGAGTTTCCCAATGGCCCGGATACTGACACTCAGACGCTCGGGAAAGGAGTTGCACCCACTATGTCTGTGCTGATGAATACTTTGAGATTTGATTCTTTTCAGCCAGCTTCCGCGCCTCCCAGACTGTGGAGCGACAGGGTTGACTCTGAGGACGTGTTAGAGCGCACGTTACCTCCACTGGACTTTGTCGAGGCTGCGGGATCTCTGGAGGAGAGGGACGGTCTTTATGTGACCTACTGTTCTCCCTCTTCTGCTGCTGGTTCGACGCTCGGGAGGACTTCGTCAGGACTGGCAGCATTGGTGATGCTGACGTCGCGCGATGAAAGGGCTGGTTTGGGAGGGGGGCCCTGGCAGGAGGCCTCGGTTCCTTCCTCTCCAGCAGTGGTCGGGGTGGCCGTACCTGCGGCGCCGGGTGACCACCTGATGACGGCTAGGTTGGTTTTTTGGCCCGAGTCGAGTCTGACTCCCAGGTCGGGAGGGGGAAGGGGCCAGGAGGCCCCCGTCCTCTCTTCTCCTCGCGGGTCTCCGGGTGGGGAGCATGGGCAGGCGGCCCAGCCCTCACTTGCGTCGCGCTCGCCGGCGGTTGACTGCAGTTCTCCGACTTGTCTTGCCGGGCCGGGCATTGAGGGTGGGACAGGAGGCCTTACCCAAACGGGGCGACCCGGGAGGAGGTCATCACCTTTGGCGGTATTCCGGATCCTGCATCTCAGGGCAGACGGATGAGCTGTCGCCTTCAGGACCAGACAGACGTTGATGATATGCAGCTGAGGTGCGCCGGGCGGGCGGCCAAGCTTCGTGACATAGAGGTCACTACTGGTATGTCATTCAACACTTCCAATTCCATTTTGCATTTTTCTAATGATGAGATCATTCACAATGCAAACGAGTTAGGAGTTTCACTAGGTAGTAATGATAGTGAAATTTCTAAATCTGTTAATGACATTTTGGACCTCGAAGCTGAATGTGCCTTAGAGTTGATTCGTAACTTAGCCGCGGTTAAACCTATGAACGATTATGACATTGACGCCTTGGGAGTCAGGGTGCTTGATACGTTTTGTGCGGATCTTGCCCCATCTATTGCTGAGACTGAGGAGGACGATGGTTGTACACCTCTTGAGGAGAGTATCCCAGTAGAGGTCAGGAGGTTAGTTCTGAGGATCCCGGTTGTGAGGACCGGGGAGAGGATCAGAACAAGCCTAAGCGAAAGTGGAGGCGTAAGATATATCCTGCTTCCGCGGTGCCTAGAAGTGCTAGGGTCCGGACAACCAAAAAATTCCATGATGAACTATGAGAGGCATCTTTTGGAATAGCAGAGGTCTGATGGACTTGGCTAAAAAAAGGTTTCTAACAGATGCTTCCATTGAACATAGACTGGATTTTATTGCCCTTCCCGAGACTGGAAGGGACAATTTCTCTCCTCAATTTCTGAGCACTTTATCCGGAGGTGTTGATTTTGATTGACACTGCCTCCCCCTAGAGGAAGATCAGGGGGGATCCTACTAGGGGTGAGATGTCATGAGTAGGAAGTCTGAAGTGTGGTCATGGGTGACTTCACGGTCAAATTTTGGTCAGATCCAAAGGTGATGGTTTTAATTGGGCACTGGTTGCGGTGTATGGGGCCGTATAGCCGGAATTAAAACCAGACTTTTTGGCAGATCTCGTCCGTATTTGCGGGTCTGAACAGCTACCAATCCTAGTTGGGGGCGATTTTAACATCATTAGAAGGCTAGAAGAAAAGAACAATGATATTTTCGACGCCAGGTGGCCGTTTATGTTTAATACCATCATTGAAAGCTTGGATCTTAGAGAGATAGAGCTTTCGGGGAGAAAATTCACTTGGGCTAATTCCTTGCAAAATCCGACGTATGAGAAGCTAGATCGAGTCCTAGCGAGCGTCGACTGGGAACAGAAATTCCCCCTGGTTACAGTCCAAGCGTTATCCCACGGTATCTCTAACCACACCCCTTGTTGGTTGACTCTAGTGAGGCAACGCATGTGGGAAATAAAAAAACCTTCTCTTTCGAACTTGCATGGTTTGGAAGAAAAGGTTTCCTGGATCTGATAGCCAGGGAATGGGCGATAGATGCAGGAGGAAGGTTGTCTATGGAGAGATGGCAGAATAAGATTAGAAATTTGAGAAGTTTCTTGCGAGGGTGGGCTAAGCATCTCAGAGGGATCTATAAGGTTGAAAAGGAAAGGCTCCTTACACTTATCCAGTCCCTAGATGTAAAAGCCGAGTCCACAATTCTACAATCCTCGGAGCTTCATGCCAAAATAGATGCGGAAATGCGATTGAAAGAGCTGTTGCGGGAAGAGGAGTTGAAGTGGGCTTTGCGATCTAAGGTTCGCAAAGTCATCCAAGGGGACGCTAACACTCAATTCTTTCATATGATCGCTAATGGCAAGCATAGACAAAAAAGAATCTTTCAGCTTGAGCAAGATGAAGGGACGATCTTAGGGCAGGAAAACTTAAATTTATACATAACAAATTATTACAAGTAGTTGTTTGGGCCTCCAAAGGATAATTTTGTGTCCTTGGATGAGTCGAGGATTGAGGATGTACCTCAGCTGGCTGCTGATGAGAATGATGTATTAGCTGCACCATTCTCGGAGAAAGAGGTGTTTGATGCAATTTCGCAGATGAAGAATAATAAAGCTCCGCGGCCGGATTGATTTCCGGTGGAGTTTTATAAGAAATGTTGGCACATTATTAAATGGGATATGTTACCGATGTTCCATGATCTATTCTCCGGACAGCTTCAGTTGTTT